ACCAGTGAGATTATTTTTTTGCTTGAATTTGTTATTGTACTCCTTATAGAAAGTAGGAAGTACATGCTACTCATTTCTACCAGTGGTAATACAGACTGAAGAGCTTGAGAAACATTTTCAATAAAGAACCAGGCCCAGTGCAATGACTCACACCTGTAATCCTAATACTTTGGGAGGATGAGGTGGGAGCATCACTTGAGGCCAAGAGTTTGAGACCAGCCTGTTTCTACAAAAATAAAAAATAAAAAATTAGCCAAGTGTGGTGGTACTCCTCTTTAGTCCCAGCTACTCTGGGATCTGAGATGGGAGGATTGCTTGAGCCTGGATGTTTGAGACTGCAAGTGAGATATTATCACACCACTGTACTCCAGCCTTGGGGACAGAATGAGACTGAGACAAGGAAGGAAGGAAAGGAAAGAAGGAAGGAAGGGAGGGAGGGAGGGAGGGAGGGAGAGAACGAAGGAAAGGAAGAGAAGGAGGGAGGGAGGAATGGAGGGAGAAAGGAGGAAGGAAAGGAGGGAGGAAAAGAGGGAGGAAAGGAGGGACAGGTGACGGTTCCCTGGTTGGTTATTAAGTGAAACTAGAAGGCTGAGATTTCATTTCTGACCTTAGAGGTTGATGCCAAGAAGGTTAAATGGAATTTACATTATTATCACTGCAAATAGGGTGAAGGCTAAGAAAATGAACTCCCCTTGTGAAAACCTGTGAGGGATTCAGTTATCAGGGAAACATCTCCCACCTCTGACCAATCAGGGTAACAATTTCTTTGAAAAATACTTCTTAAAAGTAGTTTTATCTAAAATATAAGAATATTTTGAGTGAAGAAATAAGAGAGGACACAAACAAATGAAAAAACATTCCATCCTCATGGATAGGAAGAATCAATATCATGAAAACGGTCATACTGCCCAAAGTAATTTATAGTTTCAATGCTATTTCCATCAAACTACCATTGACATTCTTCACAGAATTAGTAAAAACTATTTTAAATTTCATGTGGAATCAAAGACCCCGTATAGCCAAGACAATCCCTAAGCAAAAAGAACAAAACTGGCGTCATCACACTACCTGACTTCAAACTATACTATAAGGTTACAGTAACCAAAACAGCATGGTACTGGTACCAAAACAGACATATAGACCAATGGAGCAGAACAGAGACCTCAGAAATAACACCACACATCTACAACCATCTGATCTTTGACAAACCTGACAAAAACAAGAAATGGGGAAAGGATCTCCTGTTCAGTAAATGGTGCTGGGAAAACTGGCTAGCCATATGCAGAAAACTGAAACTGGACCCTTTCCTTACACCTTATACAAAAATTAACTCAAGATGGATTAAAGACTTAAATGTAAAACCCAAAACCATAAAAACCTAGAAGAAAATCTAGGCAATGCCATTCAGGACATAGGCGTGGGCAAACACTTCATGACAAAAACACCAAAAGCAATTGCAACAAAAGCCAAAATTGACAAATGGGATCTAATTAAAGTAAAGAGCTTCTGAACAGCAAAAGAAACTATCATCAGAGTGAACAGGCAACCTACAGAATGGGAGAAAATCTTTGCAATCTACTCATCTGACAAAGGTCTGATACCCAGAATCTACAAGGAACTAAATCAAATTTACAAGAAAAAAACAACCCCATCAAAAAGTTGGCAAAGGATATGAACAGACACTTCTCAAAAGAAGACATTTACGTGGCCAACAAACTTGTGAAAAAAAGCTCAACATCACTGATCATCAGAGAAATGCAAATCAAAACCACGATGAGATACCATCTCACACCAGTCAGAATGGTGATTATTAAAAAGTCAGAAGACAATAGATGCTGGTACCTATTGTGGAGAAATAGGAACACTCTTACACTGTTAGTGGGAATGCAAATTAGTTCAACCATTGGGGAAGACAGTATGGAGTATTCCTCAAGGATCTAGAACCAGAAATACCATTTGACCCAGCAATCCCATCACTGGGTATATACTCAAAGGAATATAAATCATTTTACTATAAAGAGACATGCATACGTATGTTTATTGCAGCATTATTTACAATAGCAAAGACATGGAACCAACCCAAATGCCCATCAGTGATAGACTGGATAAAGAAAATGTGGCACATATACACCATGGAATACCATGCAGCCATAAAAAGGAATGAGATCATGTCCTTTGCAGGGATATGGATGAAGCTGGAAGCCATCATCCTCAGCAAACTAACAGAGGAACAGAAAACCAAACACCGTATGTTCTCGCTCATAAGTAGGAGTTGAACATTGAGAATACATGGACACAGACTGGGGAACAACACACACCAGGGCCTGTTGGTGGGGGGTGGGGGTGAGGAGAGAGAACTTAGAGGATGGGTCAAGAGGTGCAGCAAACCACCATGGCACATGTATACCTATGTAACAAACCTGCACATTCTGCACATGTATCCTATCTTTTAAGACGAAATAAAGGACAAAAAATTTTTAAAAATTAAAAAAAGAATATCTTGAATGGCAATATCAGGCCTGGTTGAAATCTGTACCTGAACTTAGGCACATGTAGTGGCTGAGCTCTTCAAATGTGGCTAGTGCAACTGTGAAACTAAATTCTTAATTTTGTCTGATTTTAATCCATTTTAACTTAAAATTGGATACTCGGTTCAGTTACTGGAAGACATTTATGTTTATTTGGAATAATTTGGGGATGTGAATCTGCTTATTTATCTGTAAACTGTATGAACTATAAATACATTCTTATTCTATTCATCTCTTGGAGTATTCTTCAGTGCCTCGGGCATTGTGCTCCCCACTAAGAGACCAGATAGAGCAGTTTCCACCCTTATGGAGCCTCCAGTAGGGCAGGGAAGATAGACCATAACAGAATGGCAACTGAGAGCCACAACAGGGAAGTTTGCGGGTAAACGAGAACAGAGTGGGGGAGCCCCACGTGTGCAGGGAGAGCAGGAATTGCTGAGATCCTACTGAATTCAATTGAATGCACTAGGAAATCTTGTTGTTGTTGTTGTTGTGGGGGTTGGTGGTGTATGTGTATGTGTGTTTCAGACAGGGTCTCACTCTGTTGTCTAGGCGGGAGTGCAGTGGTACAATTCTAGTTCACTGCAGCCCTGAACTTCTGAGCTTAAACAATCCTCCTACTTCAGATTCCCGAGTAGCTGGGACTACAGATATGTGCCACCACACTCGGCTATATTTTTTTTTTATTTTTATAAAGACGGGGTCTCACTATGTTTTCCAGGCTGTCCTTGAACTCCTGGGCTCAGGAGTTTCTCCAACCTTGGCCTGCAAAGCTGTTAGGATTACAGGGGTGAGCCACTGCATCCCACCTTGGAAATCTTGATTTTTGTTCTACCAAAAGAATTCCCTGCTCTAAATATTTACCAGATAGCATAAGCCCAGCTCATCCATGAACATCAACTAACATCTGATCTGAAAATAAGGCTGTTCATTTTTAATATAATTTTTTCCTTAACTGCGAGCTCATCTTCAGACTTCTCTGTGTCATGTAACTTCGGTGCCTTAAAATCAACAAGGCAGATGGTCAGTGATTCCAAACAAAAGAAGTATCTATACATGAGTTTTCAAGATGGAGTCCTTATTTGCTTCTAGTAACCCTTCCCAAATAGTGGGGAGAGATTAAATACGTGGATCAATTTTCCTCTATGTCACAAGACACTCTGGACACAGTGTTACTTGGCCAATTGCGCCTATAGTTCCATTTAAAAGAGTCATTTATCAACGTAAAAACGTTACAGTACCTTTTGAATAGTTTTTTGATCCTTTTCTGCCATCTTTTTCATACTTATAAGTTCATCTTCTGTAAACAAAAGGAGAGAGAGGCCAACCATGAAATTACATGCTTATGCCCCTGTATTTAAACGGCCTGCTTCAGGGCAGGCTGTGGGGTACTAGCAGGCATGGTGGACACAAGGCCTAGCAGGACTGTGACCTTCACAACTGCCCTTGACATTCACAGCCTTCTTCCTGCTGTTCAGATGGCTGGTCAGATAGGGATTAAGAAGTAAGTTCAAGATCCAAGTGTGGCTGAGGGCTGAAAGCTTTTCATCAATACTAGCGATGGACATTTTTGCTGTTAGTCACAGCCAATGCAAAGAGCTTTAGCAGGTGGCAGTTTATGACTTAATAAGAACGACCCAAAACTAAAAGGCCTCACTATGCCACAGCAGAAGAGAACGAGACTATACTGGCATGGTAGAATTTTACATCCAAGGGATAATATTAATATAATATATCTCATTTCATTGATATTTTGCTATAATTCATTTTATTGCCTGCTCATTGCTTTAAATAAGCAGATTAAGGACAACATCATGTAATTAACATAATCACACGGATCACAGTTAAATGAAAAAATACATTAAAGCAATCTCACTTTGGTGATTACTTTTTTCCCTTTTCCACATGTTCTAACAACTTCGGTGATTTAAACACAACTTTCACCAACGTGTGTGGTATGAAAGAAAAGGGGTATAAAGTATACAAACGAAATTGTATATTTAAACTTTGTATCAAAAATTGAAGTAACTACTAAGTAGTAGCATATTTTCCTGAAGGGCTAACTCTGTTTTCCCCACAAAGCATATCCCTATATGTACTCTTAAGTATTTAAGTGTTATCAAGTTCAGATAATCAGTTAAGCATCTGAAACAAATCAGTAAAAGTTTCTATTTGGTTATAGTATTTCTAAGTGAAATGGAGCATTGATTAGCAAATTTTTGCAAAGGCCAATGTCTGTCTTGAAACAACATCCTGAGTTAACATGACATGGCTCAGGGATACAACTACAAACACATCCTCTGTCCCATGTAAGAAATGCTATCTTCAATAAAAAGCAAAGATGGCTATGAAATTGATCTTTTAAATGTAAATAACCAAACAAATGTATGTTTGGAAAAGACAAACATAGTTATGAGCTTTACAACGTGACCAATACATAGATTTTTCTCAAAGGTGATTTCAAAATGTTACCTAATCCTGAATTTTCTTTTAGATTGATCTGGATTTCTTCTTCAAGCTCTGAAATGATCTGAAGCAGCCTCTCATTTTCCAGTTTGTACTCCAAATTTTCCTTTTCTGTGTTTGATTTTGGAGAGCTGGTTTCCTTGGGAAAAGATTCCTAAAAGATGGAGAATGCCATATTTCTAAGCAGGGAGCCAAGGATTTAAATATGCAAGACAAGGACAATACAGATACAGAAAAGCTATCATATAATTTTCTGAATTCTATTACACACTTATAATAAGAATAGTAAAAAGGAAGGAGCCTAAATAGAGCTTGCTGGAAGAAAGGCTCCAGTACATTCTGTACAAAGACCTCAACACATGGGGACATTTTATTGACAGGAATAATGCATATCATACTGTTTGTGTGCCCTCATCATTCAGGTCAATTCATTATGGAGGCTGTGTCCGGGGAGGCAGCTGGGGCCCCTCCACCCACACTTCCCTCTGTGTGTGTCTGAAGTGCTGTCCGCCTGTAACTAGGCAGGCTGGGGGGACCAGGACGGGCAGCGCCAGGGGGTGGCAGAGTGCATGGCTAAGGAGGGGGGCTTGTTGCCTTTGTGGCATTTCCCAGTGTCAGTGCTGCCAGTGTCATGAGGAGCACATCACATGTCAAAGTGGTGACGTTTTCAGGCTGGGAGCCGCATGGAGTCCATCAGGCACACGGATATCCACACAGTTGGTTTTCTGCTTGGTGGAGGAGCCACCCAGAGGCAATTCATATTCTGAACATTAACATGGCTTTGCATGCTTGTCACACGGGGTCTGTGCAGGCGTTTAATGCTATTGAAGACTTCGGTTTAAATCTCTATGCAAACAGTGATTACCTTGTAAGAAGGTTTCAGGATAACTTACAACAAAAGACTTTAAAGTTATAGTTTTAGTAAAGCAAACTCATTTACATTTTTATTATGTGCGTCTTTTGTTTAAATCTTGCCATGTCCATTATGGGAGAGCTTTTTCTTACGCAATAGACGCGCTTATTGGGACAGCTACTTTTTTTTTTTTTTTTTTTTGCCTTCTTCTTCTTGTCTGTTTCAAAGCCATTGAAAACATCTGAATATACTCCCTATGGTTGTCTAGATTTTACTGTCACACATTAAAAAAAAAAAATTAAGATGTAATGGATTGGGGAAGTTGGTGCAGAACTTTACACTTTATTGTGGTACAATAATAAACAGATTATGCAATCTCAAAATATTAGTCATTATATTATTATGCCAAAGGAGATAGAAGATTCTACATGCCTTGTTAAAAATTACTACAGACATTAAAAATACTTTTGAACTTAAGGTCATCGCAGGTGAATTATAACTTATTCTTTTTACAGTAATTCCATGATTGCAATAAATAAAAATAAAATCTTCCCTCAAAAACAAAATCATTTCTCTCGACTGATTTCCCTTTGGAACTACACTTTCATTTAGTTTAAGGATACGTGGAAGTAAATTATTTAAATATTTTCCCCTGTAACAGTTTGAAAGAAAAAGAAGTGATTTAAATTTTTTTGTAGTACACTAATAAGTACATTAATAAGTCCTTTAAAACAAGTGACTTACTAATGAAATTACGTATGGTATGTATGTGTGTGTGTGTAAGAGTTAGTAATATTTAAATTATGTTGTTAAATTTTGCACTAAGCTCAATTACCAAATCTTCATGACTTTGATTCACCATTTCATTTAAATTATTTGAGCCCAATTCATTCTTAACTAATGAGAACTGACAAACCTAGTAAGTAGTTAATAAACAACACTGAATCCCAGTCATTAATTTCTTGTCCCACATTATTCAATTTGAGACCATCACAGAATGCATTTACAGACTAAAAGTTTTTTTTTTTTTTTTTTTTAAAAAAAGAAAGAAAGAAACAATACTGGCCTTAATAGGCTTAAGCATACTTTTCCTAACAGTGGCAGAGTATGAACATCCACAGAGGATTACACGAGCACCCGATTCTCATCAACTAAAGAAGAACTATTTGAATTCATCAGATGAAGTGTAAAATTTACAAATGGTAGCAGCTAATACCTAACTACGGGTTCTAAGAATCTCTTTGTATGAAAGCAGGACGCAAGGAAAACACATTAAATCTGGGGGTTTGTCCTCCACATATCAATCCACAACCCCTGTTCTTCTGAGGTTAACCCTTAGCTCTGTCCCCACCATCTGTCAGCTGCGGGAACTGCAAGTAATTAACTATTCAGTCGCCCACAGCAATGAGGACACTCATTAGCAAAATGAACAAAGGGATCGTTCTGAGCTGCTACGGTCCTCTGTTACACTCTGAGTGGCAGGTTTTGTGGTGGTGCTCCTTCTGCCATCTGCCCACACTGCTAGTTTGTGCTTGCTTAAACCACGAGACTTTAAAAAAATAAACTGCATTAATAAAATGAGGTTAAGAAGGATGGAGATCATTAAAAGGCGGTTAACTGGATGTAACCATTTAAACCACACTATACTCTGAGACAGAGTGTGTGTAATCCTTGATCATTCTGGAATTTCAAAATTTTAAAGAAACTTGCCAATCTCAAGTTTATCTTTCATATTATAAAAACTAGGACTTCAGGCGGTAGCATATGTGCTATATCTTTTGTGAATATTCACAAGATGCATACAATTACAAACTGAATCCCAAATTGAATCTTGAAAGAATCATTTTTGCAAACAGGTGTACTTGGGAGCTTTGCTCCTCAAATGCGGTCCATGGACCATGAGCCTCAGCATCACCTGGGAACTGATTGGCAATGCAGCCTCTCAGGCCCAACCCAGGGCTACTGCGTCAGAGTCTGCATCTAACAACACCTGCAGGTGATGCGTGTGAGTGGTAAAGTCTGAGAAGTTCTGGTTCAAAGCACTTTCTGTGTCTTCTCAGCAGTTTCCCTTCCATAGGCTCCATTGAATTGGACATCTCAATTTTCTGGGGAGGAGTAGAGTTCTGATGCAAGCCCATGCCTCATGACAGTCACAGAGAAGAGCAGGTGCTTTCCCAATGAGTGACAACCAGGAAAGTGGCACTCTGGGCAGTGCAACCCTGCAGAGCTGCCACTCTTGAATGACAGCTCTGTTTCAGAGCTGTCAGCAACAAGCAGATATGCTCAGCAATGGAAGGTAGGTGGGTGATGGTTGCGGGGCTCATCAGTGTTGGGATAAGAAAGAAAAATGAAAAGTCTATTCAAAATGCCAGCTCCAACTGAAATTAAAACACATGCACAGGCGCGTGCACACACACACACACACATACACACACACACAATCACAGAGACATAAAGGCTAACCTCCTTTATAAATTCTCAAGAGGATTAGCCAACGGACAGCATGGAAACCTGATGACTACAATGGCATGCAGCTGAGTCACATTGATTTCCCACCGAATAAAACCTGAACATTTCATCCCTTGAATGAAGTTGCTCTTGGGAAAGTTCAACATTTAGGATGTTCCCATCTGGAGATGAGAAATATTACAACTACTTATTAACTATAAAGCTATTGAAGTAACTTGATAATCAGTAAGAGTAAACTAGATAACTGCAGAATTAAATAAAGCTTGTTTATTTCACTTTCGTTTTTCAACTTACTTCCACTGCTACTTTGAAATTTTTAATTGTTTTTCCAAATTCAGTGTTCCCAATCTAATTCGAGACTTGGTATCCCAAGGGTTTTTTAAATACCACTAGAGGGGGCAGTTGAATCAGATGAAATTTCAAATAAAAAAGATCATCTAGAACTTAAGTGGCATGAGGTTTTAGGAAAGTTTGTTCTTAGAGAATGTAGAAAAAAA